CGACCCCTCCTTGGGTTTCCGAGGCAGTATCACTACGGAAGTAGATTGCCCCATCTTCCTTCTGAGGAGTGGCTGATGGGTTTGAACCCCTGGCCTTCTGGTTAGCAGTCAACTGCCTTAGGCACTATGCTACCAGAGCTCCCTTAGAAAACATAGTGACGTAGAAATTAAAAGATATTTTGAGATACTGGTATTTGAGATCAGTAAACATAGGATACTTCATTACCTTTTAGTTGGCACTGATAATATCAAATATAATTTGACTAGAAACTGCAATTTAATAAGAATCATATCCATGAAAATGTATTTGGTCCATTCAAATGTATATAAACAGCGAGGTATGAACATACAGTAAATAAGGTGGGTTACACAAATACACATAAAAGTAGTTTGACTACTGTGGAGTTGCACTTTAATCAGAGTGTTATAAAATATGTACATATATTATAAATTAATGTGTTCATTGGTTATAAAATTATTGCAGTTATATTTACCAATAGGATGAAGGTCTATGCAAGTTAATTTCAAAGAGTTTGCTGCATTTTTTAGAATAATGCATTATAAGAACTGGCTCCTTAGCTGTTGTTGCTTAACACACTGAACCTTTGTAAAGGTTTTGTCCTTCCTGTTGCCCCTGTTGTTGTTGTGTGTTCTCAAGTCATTTCTGACTCCTAGCTACCCTATAGGACAGAGTAGAACTGCCCTCATAGGAGATTACATTATTAAAGAGTTGCCTGGAGGTAGAAATATCTGAACTGGGCCTGTATCTCATTAAGCAGCAGCTTAGAATACAGAAAAGTTATCATTTCACAAATATGGGAAATAGTAAGAGATAAGACATGAAAGTTCAGTTAAAACCAGATTACGGAAATTGCCAGACGTTTCCCTCACAGGATCAGAGTCATTCATTAGGATAACCAGTCCACTAGCAGCAATAGGAAGAACTGGAGTGGGATTGTGGCAAGAAGTTCAACAATTAATGAACAGATGAGTATATATTGACATACTGCTCATGGTGACAATGGAGATAGAAAACAGAAAATCAATATGGACACGATTATAAGGCTAATATCTATAGACCTTGACTACTGTTAGGTGCATAATGTAATGGAGAGTCAAAGATCCATTTGATATTTCTGGTCTGATTCACTGAAATGAGTGAAAGAAAGAAATTGACTTGTGCTGAAGCAGGACATCAAACTTGTTCATTTCGACTCAAACCCCTGTTGAGAATGTGCATTTCCACCCCAGATATATTAAATTAGAATCTACATTTTAACAATATGTAGATGCAACTAAAAGCAAAACCACTGCCATCTGGTCAATTCTGACTCATAGACACCCCCGTTGGGTTTCTAAGACTGGAAATCTTTAAGGAAGCAGGCTGCCTCATCTTTCTTGCATGGAGCAACTGGTGGGTTCCAACCACTGACCTTTTGGTTAACAGCCAAATGCCTCAACCACTACACCACCAGAGCAGATATGGGAATCTATAAGTAACACCTGGAGATCTTGCTAAAGTGTAGATTCTGCTTCACTGTATCTGAGGTGAAAATGCACATACTCAACAGGGGTTTGAGTCGAAATGAACAAGTTTGATGTCCTGCTTCAGCCCAAGTCAATTTCTTTCTTAGAATTAGATTAGACTGGAATGAACTGGTTCGAAGCCCCGAGCTGAAGATGATTAACTCCATTTTGTTCTCGTTGCATTGAAGATGCTAATGAAAGAGAGAGAGTCACACAGAGCCATTTGGAAAGGCAGAAATGAGGTTGAAATTACTGTGATGAATTTAGGAATCATTTGATAAAGACCAAGAAAAGATTCCAGAATGAATGTAAAGAATCACAGTGGGACAGTTGGAGAGGATAATTCTGTGAAGGAAAAAAAAAAAAGGTGATAGAAACAGAAGTAGAAAGAGAATGAAAGAGTAGTCTCCTAGCAAGTAAATTGATTCATTGGCAGCAAGAAGAACCTTCTTTCTGGATGTCCTGTCCTTGTGCAGGCCAACTGGGGCATCAGATGAAACATTATATGTTGTTTATGGATTTTCCAGAGAGTTTAACAGTGGAACTAACAAGTTGTTCTTATATAAGGTCTGATTAGGTCCCTTACTCAGTTAGGCCAGGTCTTTTACAATTTTCTCCTAAGAATCTCATAACAAAGATAGAGCAAAGGCCATGCATGACAGGTGAGAGGCTAGATTGATAGAGGAAGGCATGTTGGAGAGTGTTGTTGCTGTTAGTTGCTGTGGACCCATGTGCAGCGAGTAGAAGACTCCATAGCGTTTTCAACGCTTTCAGAAGCACATCCCCAGGCCTGTTTCTTGAGGAGCCTCTAAGTGGGTTTGAACAGCCAACTGTGCAGCTAGCAGTTAAGTTCTTAGCCATTTGCATCACTCAGGGACTCCATGTTGGAGAGCAGAGAGTAATAAAGTTGAAACAGTTGTGTCGGGGGCTCACCCATACAGGTTGTGAATGCCAAGCAGACATTTCAGAACTTTATCCTTTTGACCTCAGAAGGACATGGGAAATGGCTGAGCTAGAGCATTCTGTGGTGAAGCCAGCATTTGGTCTGGCAACAACAAGTCCATTGATTGGAGTGGGTAGAGATGGGACACTCTTCAACTAGCACATCTGAATTTAACACCGCAAGCAGACTGAAATATTTTAGCCTTCAGACTTCTATGGACTTGTCCAAGAGCATAAGGTGCTAGGCAATCAATCACAGTTTGGAGAACTTTCCTACAGATGGTTGCTGGAAGGCACGGTTTAAAAAAAAAAAAGTCATATCATGTGGTAATGTTTTAAGTGTTGTGAAGGATAAAAAACGTTTCCCACTTAATAAATGGACACCTCTGTCTTGTGAATAAGGTGGCCTTTGTGGTACTGCTGGGAGGTGCATTTGCTCTTACACACTCACCCTTCTGTTCCCAGTAGCTTTTTGTATTGTATGTACTGAAGCCTTTTAGCACTAACACTATGTTGTAGTTAACATTTTTCATGAATGGACCTTTCTCACCCATTTTTTTAAAAAACAAAACCTCACTGCCAACTAGTAGCAACCCCCCTTGGGTTTCCAAGGCAGTATCTCTAAGGAAGTGGCTTGCCCAGTCCTTCCAAGGAGTGGCTGGTGGGTTTGAATGGCCAGCCTCCTTGTTAGTGGTGGAATACCTTAGGCACTGTGCCAGCAGAGCTCCTTTTCACCCATAAGTGTCAGTATCTTCTTCAGTACATTAAGCCTACCATAAAGTGCCTTCTATGTCATTCCTTTGAACCCTTTGTTTCAATTGCTGTATTGGATTGCTAATAGGAAGTCGATCATCCTGTAATCACCTGGTGGTTCTGTGAGTAGCAACAGACCATTTTGTAATGTAAGGTGGGATTTCTGAAAGGATTAAGTACTTTTATTTGGCTATACTCTTAAAAAAAAAAACCCAGAAGTTGGGACCTTTTGAACTTTTAGCTCAAAGAACCTCTGTTCTACTACTTAACTTCACTGTTTGATGAAGACCTACAGTTCTTGTGAATGAATGTTATTCTTTGTATGCTATTTTATGGAGCTCTGGGGGCGTAGTGCCTAAGGCATTTGACTGTAACGAGAAGGCTGGTGGGGCTGGTGGTTCAAACCCACCAGCCACTCCTCAGAAGGAAGATTGAACAAACTCCTTCCATGAAGATACAGCCTCGGAAACCCAAGAAGGAGTCACTATGAGTCGCAATCGTTTGCTTGATGGCAATGAGTTTGGTTTGGTGTATGCTATTTTATCTTTTATTTCATCAACCAGCTAAGGCTATCTCTTATTTCTGAGTGAAATTTAAAATGTTCATTTTATCATAGTTTGTTAAAGTGAAAAATATTCATTACATGTTTGGGAGACTATGCTGGCTTTTTAGTAATTTTATGTATTCTTAAAAGTCATGTGGTGTTATTGTCTTTAATTTGTATGCATTTGAATTCTTTCAAATGTGTGCAATTTTCAATTTCATTGAACCAGAAAGTAGTAATTATTTATAAAACATTGTATTTTTTCCAGAGATTCTTAATTAGTTCACCATTAAATATTGATCATCAGTTTTGCAAGATCGGAATGCACATGGGCAATAGAAATGGCATAATCTGATATTTTTATATTATATTTAGGCTGTGTTATTTCAAGAATGTGACTGTCAGCTAATATGTAGAAGTTGTGATTAGTGTGAAGTGCAGCACTGAATTCAGAAATGCCAAGCTAACAAAACAAATTTGAGACCAGAAAGTAGCCCTAAATCCAAGAAGTGACAGATGCTTTCAGGAAGAAATGAAATTCTAGCTGTGGTCTACTGTGGTAGATAGGACTAGACCCTAGAAACAGAACTTGAGCTAGAGTGGTTGGTGAAATTTGTAGATGCTGAATATACATAAACTAGACAAAGAATATAAATCTTTGGAGGCTACAGATGCAGGGGAGTCTGCATCCCCACATGGATTGTTTTTTTTTCTGCAGACCTCACTGGTCATCATAGAAGAGAGTGAAAAAAGTCCTGAGAAAGTGTCCTTTATGGTACCTGCCTACAGTAAGGACAAGTAACTCACTCAGACTCTTACATGTCCTGTGAAATAAGAATGTTAATCTATAGAAAGAAAGATGACAAACTGTCACCCTTAAGGCCCTGGTGAATGCTCTTTGTAGCTGCAAAGAAACTATATACACTTTTGGGAAGAAAGTCTGCCTCTACAGAGGCCTTGGGCTCCCAGAACACTTCCTGATAAGGAGGGTGGGAATTGGGTCTCTCTCTCTCTCTCAGTTCCTTCTCCTTATCAGAGAAGCCTTCCTCCCTGTTCTGGGCACACAGTAACTTTCTTTGTATCTTGCATATATATGGGCACCATTTGGTACCTTGCCAATCCCACCTCTGTATCTGTTCCCGCGGGGAGGCAATGAGCTCTTTGGGTTTGTGCACAAGAGGGGTGTGTGCAGAGCAGTTGTCCTGTACCAGCTGTGAGGAGTGACTTGCTGGCCATGGGAAACCAGTGCCCACGATTGAAGCTGATCTTGCTCTATCTCTTTTGTGAGTAAAGCATTATCCTATGCACTAGTAGTACAGTGAGTGGTTTTTGTCTTTTGTTGGCAACCTCAAATCCTGATATATATGGTTGTGTATGTGTGTGTGTTTGTGTGTGTACTACAAACTACTTCTACCTCAGGGTGAGAGGCTCTAAGATGACATGATTTTCAAGTAAAACATTCCAAAGAATCTACAAAATAACTCCTAGAACTAGCACATACATGAGTATATCAAGGTTGCAGACTACATGAAAAACAAAAAATACAACACAAACAAATTCTACTTCTATGTACTAGCAGTAAACAGTAGTAATTAATTTTTTAAAATAGCATTTACAATAGCATGAAAAAATGAAATACTGAAGTATAAACCTAACAAAATATGTTCAAGTTACATGTGCTTAAAATTGAAGAGCATTGATGAAGGAAAACTAAATTAAATGGAGAAATATATCATGAAAATATATGTCCCACAAATTTCTTGTATGCAGAATACCTAAAGTACTCTCAACACTCAACAAGAAAGGAAACAACCCAATTTAAAAAATGATCAAAAGATCTGAACAGATACTGCACCAAAAAAGACAGATGAATGGCGTATGAAAGGTTGCACAATGCAGTTGCTATATGATCCAGCAGTCCCATTCCTAGCTATATACTTGAGATGAATTAAAACTGGTAGTCATAATAAGACATGTATGCAAATGTTTTATAGCAGCTTCATGTATAATTGACCCAAATTGAAAACAACCCAGCACCCTTTAACCAGTGAATGGGTAAATATTCTGTGGCCCATTCATACAATCAGAAATTTTCACTTTTCTAGTCTCAAGGTAGTAATCATTTCTGTAACTGAAAATTCCTTTTATTATTCCTGCATATTATATTTTCTTTTATAGGTCAAATAACCCTCTTTTCCTTAACCCATACATTTCCAACTCCTTCCACCTACTTATAGTATGTGTGGGGAAGTTTCTGCAACAAAGAAGGAAACTGGCACTGAGAATTTAGCGTTCTAAGTACCCCTATGTCTTTTGAATTCCTTGTGATCATTGATGAATCATTTTAATTCCAAGACACTCAGCAGAATGAGTCATTTTAAAATATTGAGTGTTTCTTCTATTATTATATGATAGTGCATTTTTCAAAATGTTTAAAATAGAAACAAAAGAGATGAATCTCATTTACCTATAAAGCCCTGCAGATAACTTTCATGGTATTGATCTTCTGAAACTTTACAGTTTTACACTATTTAAAATTTGTTTTTGTTTCTAAAGAAATGTGCTTTTTGTTTTGTAAACTCAGGTAAAATTTCTCTTTCACTATTGCTCAGATTTCCATTATCTTTTTGGAAAAGGAAAAAGTATATATATAAATATATTTATCTTCCTTTTTTTTTTTTTTTTGGAACAGGTGCTTTTCCCCCTGAGAAATGGATATTAAATTTTGACAAAGATCTTTTAGATGGCCTTGTTTTTGCGACACAGATAGCAACCTATTGTCCATTTCTGGTAAGAGCCACCCTTATACAAAATTGTCATCTGTTCTTTGTAAGAATACATAATTAAAATGTGAAGTAAATTTTCTGTAAACTGATTAATTAAAATGTTTAATATTAAGTCTAATACCTGAATCTAAATGATTAGTACTGCCTTTATTATTATTACTATTCTTGCATTTTGAGTGCAATGGTCTAATACTGCCAAACATTAGTATTTTAAGATTCTTTGCTGAACTACAAAAGACATGTGCACACCAACAGCAATTTTCCTTCCATCACTAACAGGTTTGATTATTATTCTTTTTTTTTTCCAGATTGAGTCTCATTTTAGAAATATGTATACAAAACCAAAGAGCCCTGAACAACATCTGCACAATTGCCTGATTGTTCTGAATGCTTTACATGAAATTGGAATTGACATGGACATAGAAGTGGGTGTCTTTATGTCATGCATTCTATAAATATTTTCTGTGTTTCCTCTGTTAGTTTATTTCTTCATAATAGTATTTTCTTTATAAATTTTAAATGTGAATTGAAACAGATTTTTCATGGGAAATTGCTAAAGTGTAAATATTGAAATAGGACTCTATAAAAATCTGCTGGGTTTTTCTTTAAAAATGAAGTATATTTAGGAAATTGTTTGGATAGATTGCCCTAGTTGAAGTTTGGGGTTGGAAAAACAGATGTATACATATGTTAGATTATTGGATATCAACATAAAAATATGAGAGTTTACTATGCAGCCATTATGGGAATAAAAGTGTCTACTCTTAAAACAATCATCGGGAAGATTGGAATGAAAGGGAATGAAGACAGTAACAGGAAATCAGAAGGTTATTTCAGTTGTTCAAGGAGAGAAGTAATAACTGTCTTCTCAGATCTTTACAGTGAAGACTGAAAGTAATAGGCTCATGTAGAAAAAATCATGACATTTACTGGGACCTGATGACCAGTCACAAAAGGAAGGTACAGCAGAAGGGCCATTAAAACTAACTATAGAGAGATTTACAATGATAGTGCTCAAATATGGCTTGGTATAAAATGGTTCGTTCTCCAACAAGTAGGTTGGAAAAATAATCGTTAACAATTATTCACTTTTTTTCTTGCATTAAGCTCACTTCCATATTGAAATCACTTTGTTCCAGGCCTAGAACTTAAATTCTTTGTATCAGTCGAGTTGAAAAGTAACTGTAATTGATGATTTGGGTCAGAGTATTACTTTATGTTGTTGTTGTTGTTATGTGCCGTCGAGTCAAACC